TAAAATTCATTATTTCTGGAATTCTCCAACCCAGTCTGTTTACAGATTTTTTTTTTCCAGTTCAGTCTTGACACACAGACAAGTGTGTACCAACTGTCTACTTTTTATATTTGGGTGAGTACCTGGAAGTGGTATGTGGCAGAAGACAAGAATGAGGAGAAGGGAACACAAGCACACTGTTAACTTCAAGACTACCTTACTCCTCACCTTCATTTTTCTCCAAGTGAAAAGATTCCTGGTTTTTATTTCATTCTGTTACCCATTTTGAATTACCTTTTAAAAATGTGTTTATGTCCTATTTTTACCCCTCAGTTCATCCCCCTTGTATTGGATGTCATGCCTACCTCTTTTCTCAATAGTTTTCCCTTTACAGATCTCCAACTTCACACTTTCTTTATTCTTCTTCCTTGGATATGTTCAAACTACACAGCATCAAAGCACATATGAGCATTAGTCTTGACCAAATGGTATGAGCTTCCTGAGGCCCCAAACAAAAGAATGTATGCTCAACCTGGAGCCCTTTGACAATGGCATTAGTGTTCTGGAATTGGTTATTCAGAAATATTACTATATGGTTTGGGCTTTCTATATAACACAACTTTTCATATGAGTTATTCCCAAAATATAAATACAGTTAAATATCAGGAACATAGCTTTACGATAATTTTCCCTTTTATGACAACTTCCCCTTTTGTGGGCCAGATCTTGAAGTCCTTAATATTGATAGCCTAGAACAGTGGTCGGCAAACTCATTAGTCAACAGAACCAAATACAACAGTACAATGATTGAAATTTCTTTTGAGAGCCAAATATTTAAACTTCTTCTAATGCCACTTTTTCAAAATAGACATGCCTAGGCCATGGTATTTTGTGGAAGAGCCACACTCAAGGGGCCAAAGAGTCGCATGTGGCTCACGAGCCACAGTATGCCGACCACAGGCCTAGAACCTTAAATAAATAATAATAATAATAATAATAATAATAATAATAAAAATAAGTGACATCAGCCTGGCCAGTGTGGCTCAGTGCTTGAGTGTCAACCCAGAAACCAAGAGGTTGTAGGTTTGATTCCTGGTCAGGGCACATGCTTGGGTTGCAGGCTCAGTCCCCAGTAGGAGCCATGCAAGAGGCAGCTAATCGATGATGTTCCTCTCTCATCAGTGTTTCTATCTTTCTATCTGCCTCCCTTCCTCTCTTTCTAAAAATCACTAAAAACATATATATTTTTTAAAGTGACGTCATTCCACCTCTTTTCCTCTTATGGTATCTTCTGCAAAATTGTGCACAAAAAGAAAGTCTCAGTATCAAAGTGAAAACATCTGTGGATCTTACTAAAACTAAAGGTATCTTGATATAGCTGCAGTTACCATTATTATTATTTCAGTGTTGAGTAGAAGGAATTGTGGTTTCTCCAATATTGTGAATAATTGTTTTGTCATTAAACAGAGAGTACAATATGTGTCTAGACTATCTCCCATAGGGCTCACAAACACTTTCATTTGTCCCCAAATGTGGTAGCCACATGTTTGTTTTCAGCTGGCTGAGTCTTAAGCCAGAGTTTAGAGAAAGTGGAAGAGAGAGAAAACCAATTAAGCGTCTCTTTAGGATGTGTCACAAAGGGTAATGCATTCCCCTCTAAAGTAATGTGTTTAAAAGAAAATAAATATTGCACACCATTACTGTTCTCATTAGTTACTTATACTTTGATAACAGTATAAAGACATTTTTTAAACTGTTGGAACAAATTCAGAAATTGGTGAACCTCATTCAGCTATAAATTCTGAGAATGCATGAACTCATTGATATTCATTGAGTGCTTATATGTGCTGATTACCATTACAGTATACTACACTTCAGAGCATAAATACGTTCAAAGTATTTGTAAAAGAAACAAATGGATATTGAATTCCATGATAGGAATTAAGTAAAAAAGGAAAATGACTGTCTGCAAACTCTAGCTTACACATAAAATATATCCCATGTTTTAAAGTCCAACTTAAGTAATTATTCAATTAAATATTAATAATCGTAATGAGACACTATAGTGACTGAAAGTAGTTGCAAGTACTTAGACATTTACAAAAAAATCAGAGATTTTAAAACTAGAAAAGCTACTTTAGAAAAGATTTTGGGTAATTCTGATTCCTACAGATAACTGAGAGCCAGGGAAAGTAAATCAGCTGTCCAAAGATACACAGCTTTTTTGTGTGAGCACCGGGAATGGAAATAAGGCTTATTTTATCTGAGATCCAGCATAAACTTTCTTGCCTCCATTAGGAGCTGCTGTGGTCAGCCTCTCTGACGGCGTGACCTCCACAGCATAGGTCTTCCCTCAGGAACATGTGGTCAAGCCCTAGCAGTTACAGGCTTCTGTCTTCTGGGAAATACACTGCTCATGGGTGCACGCAGAATCTTTTTCAGATGAGAGGTAATTACACACTCTCCCTTCCTGCTACTCCTGTAATTTGGCCTGTCCATTCAAATTATATACACCTGCTTCTTTGCACTCTATCTTCTTTTTGTGGGTTTGGGGAAATGGACTAGTTTAATTTTAACCACAGCATCAAGTCCATAAAAGTGACAGCTGGAGTTGTCTGTGACATTCGCAGAAAGAAATGACACCATTGACCTGTCATCAGGGGGATTTGCACTTGAAGTTTTAGCTTCATCATATAAGCAATAGGTTTGCTAATCCACTGGCAAACTTCCATCTGACACCTCTTTGGACCAAAGACACTATAGGGTCATGGGCAGAACAAATCCAACTTGACTCAAAAAGAGCTAAACCTGTCACCTTGAACTCAAAATTGTGTGATCAGAGTAGTTCAGAGAAGCAGCCACAATTCCCCCAGTGTCAATCAGAGTTCTTTAGGTGGCAAATAACTGATATTGACTCTTACCAAGGGAACACATTGGGGGGAAAATGGAAGGACCAGGTCTTCAAAGAAATTGGTGTAACATAGCTCAGGGGGAATTTGTGTAGCAAGACCTCACAGACACTTTCTTCAGGAAGAGTGGACTCCAACATTGTTGACCCTTGTGACCCTTTGCTTAAGAGTCAAATTCTAGGGAGACAGTGTGAGGAGCCAAGTTTGGATATCATGACTACTCCCTGAAGCGGGGGAAGTGCTCAGTTAGTGCCACAATTCAATGGGTAGAGGAAGTTTCCCAAAGGAAAATAGTTGTTCAGAACAATAACAATCAAAGGGAAGTGGATGCTGAGCAGTCAAATTAGCAGATGTCCACAACACCACCAATGTAGAGAGACAGAACCTGGCTGGCATGGCTCAGTGGTTGAGCGTCAACCCAGGAGGTCAGGGTTCGATGCCTGGGTTGTGGGCTCAATCCCCAATGTGGGCATGCAGGAGGCAGCTGATGATGATTCTCTCTCGTTGTTAATGTTGCTATCTCTCTCTCTCCCCTTTCTTTCTCTCTGAAATAAATAAAAATATATTTTAAAAAACACATGGAGTGACAAACAGAGATAGCTGAATATTGAAGTATTTAGCTCAAGGATGACACTACCTCAGACAACAGCTCAAGGATGACACCAACAAAAGGTTACTAAAATCTGGTATTGAGTCATAGTTTTAAATCAGGCTGTTTAGCAGCAATTTTCCTTTGAAATGTCTCCAGCACTGTCCAAAACCTGCGTGGTATGTGAATATCTGGTCCATTAAGCTCTCTTTCCTACCTCCCACCCATTCTCCTCCAGCCACTCCTACTTCCTTCTCTTTACCAAAATCTGAATCCCAGCTGTTTCTTTAGCAACATTTTTTTTGTTTAAGTTGGAAGATCAATCAAACATCATAGGACTTTTTGACATTTAACAAATGTGACTTACATTTTTAAAATCCAAAATGAAACCTAATTATTAGATGTAAAAGAGAGAGGGGGAGGGGATGTCAGATAATATGCTTCTTTGTCCTGTGAGTGCTCTCTCAGGCAGTCTTGCCCAGCCCCTGCTCAATGAAGCTTCCTGGTAGACCTTGTTGAGGTGAAAGATGGCTCTTCACTTCCACTCAACATACAGATCAGACCAGCATTCTGAAAAAAAAGAGGCAGGCTTCACTGTACTGGCTTTTGTTCCCTGAAAAAAAAAATCTCACTTTTAGTTATTAAAGCATTCACTGTAGGAAACAAATTTGTAACCCATTTCTCATGTTACCAACACACAAAAAACAAAATTTGATATCCTGGGGTTTATTTGCTGAGGGCACTTCCCATAAAAGTAAGTGAGTATGCATTGGAAAATGTGTCTGGGTAACTCCTTAAGGATAAATGTTAGTCACAATCCTTCCACCCCCAACCCCCAACTCTCGCCCCTAGCGCCCTCCCCACCTCCTGACTTCCCGCCTCCCCAGGGCTGGTGACCTAATAGCATTTTTCTTCATGCATATTTTGGCTTCGCCCCATGGCCTGGCTGCCTTGGTCTGTCTGAGTCTTTTGAAATCCCTGCATGTTCGCCCCAGATTAAACCGAGTGTGTCTCAGGATGTGTGTTCCGTTTGGTTCTTTCCCCTTAACGTTCCCTGTGCAACGTGTCTGGGGGGGGGGGGGGGGGGGAGGAGGACGGGACGGGCAGGCGCGGGAGGGGCCGAGGCGAGGAGCTGTCCCCTTGCACGTTTCCAATCGCATTACGTGAACAAATAGCGGAGGGGTGGCCGGGCCAGAACGGCTTGTGTAACTTTGCAAACGTGCCAGAAAGTTTAAAATCTCTCCTCCTTCCTCCACTCCAGACACTGCCGGCTCGCCGGGCCGCCGCGCCGCTCCCCATCGCCATCCAGAGCGCTGGGAACGAGCAGAGGCGGGTGCCACGTCCCAGCAGCCGCCTGGACTGGAGGAGGGTCTGCAGCCCAGCCTTGCTGGGGACTATCATACCAGCGCTCCACCACCTCCCTGGTGGAAGATTTCTCCCTCCCTCAACGTGATTTCAGCCCAGTTTTCCTTTTTCTCTGAGCTACGTCCTCCCGGAGTGGGGGCCACCGGAGAAAGGGAGAGATGCGCTTCGCCTGGACCGCGCTCCTGCTGGGGCCGCTGCAGCTCTGCACGGTCCTGCGCTGCACCCCGCCGGCCGCCGGCCAGCAGCAGCAGCAGCAGCCCCCTCGCGATCCCCCGGCGGCTCCCGGCGCCTGGAGCCAGAAGATCCAATGGGAGAACAACGGGCAGGTGTTCAGCCTGCTGAGTCTGGGCTCGCAGTACCAGCCGCAGCGCCGACGGGACCCGAGCGCCGCCGCCCAGGGCGCCGCCAACGCCGCCGCCCCGCAGCCGCGCACGCCGATCCTGCTGCTCCGCAACAACCGCACGGCGGCGGCCACCCGGGCGCGGACCGCTGCCCCGTCGGGAGCCGCCGGCGGCCGCCCCAGGCCCGCCGCCCGCCACTGGTTCCAGGCTGGCTACTCGCCGTCCGGGACCCGGGACTCCGGCCCCGCGCGCGCCAGGAACCGGACCGCGTCCGCAGAGCGCCCGGCGCTCAGTAACCTGAGGCTGCCTAGCCGCGTGGACGGCATGGTGGGCGACGATCCCTACAACCCCTACAAGTACTCCGACGACAACCCCTATTACAACTACTACGACACGTACGAAAGGCCCCGGCCTGGGAGCAGGTACCGACCCGGCTACGGCACCGGCTACTTCCAGTACGGTAAGCGCCCCAAGTCTCAGGAACCACCCACCCGGGCACCCCGTTCCCAATGTGGCTAGTGGCTTCCCCGACGTGGCTGCCAGGGCGCGGCAGGCCCCAGTCCCCGCAGACCCTTCCCCTCCCCCTGCGCCTGCAGAGGCAGCCCTGGAATCTGGTGCAAACCGCCCGCCTGGCCCCTCCTGCTTCCTTTCCACATTGGTCTCAGGCATCCCCCATTCTCCTGCTACCCGCAGCCTCGCAGGAAAACAGCAGTCAGGCTGGGTAGAGGTTGAGGAGTAAGGGACACAGAGGGAACAGTAGCCAGGGCAGGGGGCGCAAGGTTGTCTCACTGTGCCCTTTGCCTGCTGACTAGGTCTACCGGACCTGGTGCCAGATCCCTACTACATCCAGGCGTCCACTTACGTGCAAAAGATGTCCATGTACAACCTGAGATGCGCTGCGGAGGAAAACTGCTTGGCCAGGTACGAGCTGGGATATCAGCGGCCCGGCTCCCCTCTCTTGGTTCCAGCTCCCCTTTCTTGGTTCCAGGGGCTCATCAGGTCCCTGGTTCTGACTACTCTTGTTCCTAACAGACAAGAGTTGGGAAGTAGTACAAGAGCTGGGAAGTAGGACTTGAACACCTGGGCACGCTGACCTGGATGGAGAGATAACATTTTTAAGATTTCTGTGGGTTCTGTCTTTCAAACTGCAGCACAAATCAAAGAGATGTAGCAAATCCTTCTCCCAAGTGTGTTTGGCGGGAAGGGAGAGAGGATGTTTCTGTTTTCTAAGATGCTTCAACTTTGAAGCCAACTGTTTCCAATAACTTTCTATTAATTAACTGTACAATAACATGGAAAAATATTGTAATCAAAGAGCTTGTTAATATACCCTTTAAAGACTGGAGGCTAATTTGCCACTGAGGAACCCCTTATTGGCAAAGGTTAAGTTTTATCTTTTTGTTTGAAGAGATAATTAACTTAGCTATTTGGGTGTCAATATAGCCAGAATAAGACTATGAACAAGAACTTTGTTTTTCCATCAGTCCTAAAATAAAATTATAGCAATGAATTTCTCTGAAGTTGCTACTGGAAAACCAGCAGAGGGAGCTAGAGGTCATTTTGATAGGTCTCAAAATGTTTACACTGTAAAATAAAGTCATTAGTAATCAGTAGTATTTAAATAAATATTCACACAAAATAGTGTATTAGAAGGTACACAGTAATGTTCATTCATATATTTCTTCTACTCTGGCCCTTTATAATTTTCAGGCTAAAGGAAGAGAAGAAATCAAAGCACATCGTTTTCATTCTCGAGTCCTGCATCACTAACACCATTGCACTCTCTATACTATTACAGTAATGCTGTTGTTTTGAAGACAGTGAAGTTAAAAAATTGTCTAAAATAATTTGTGTACTTTTTAGAGTGATTTCCCCACTTTACATCATACTTATTTGTTCAAGAAATGTATTGTCAAATACAAAGTTCTTAGGTAAATATGGATAATTTTTTTTAACATGGGATAATTTCCACCTCAGTTTCACTCATTCATATGGTTAAACTTGACTTGATTATAAAGTTTACTTATCAGTTGCTATTTTAAAATATTTCTTATTATTTATTTCAGAGAGAGGAATGGACAGGGAGAGATAGAAACATCTACACTAATAATAGAGAAATATGCAAATTGACCATACCTTTGCAATGCCCACCAGCCAATCAGGAGTGAGTATGCAAATTAACCCAACAAAGATGGTGTGTTAATTTGCATACATAAGCACCAAGCTGCAGGGGATGCTTGCATCACCCTGGTGATGATGCGGGCATACCACACCACCCTAGCAGCTCCAGGCCTCTGAACAGTGTGGGAAGGTGGAAAGGTGGCTCTGGACCAGAGCCAAAGCAGTGCCTGTAGCCAAGGGAAGGAAGGCCCATTTTTGTGTGAATTTTTGTGCATGGGGCCTCTAGTCAATTATGAGAGAGAATCATTGATTGGCTGTCCCTTGCACGCCCTCTACTGGGGATCAAGCCCAAAACCCTGGCATGTGCCCTGATCAGGAATCAAACTGTGACCTCCTGGTTCATAGGCTGACGCTCAACCACTGAGCCATGCCAGCAACGCTATAATACTAATTTTATTGTTTTTATATTTATACTGAGGATTTCCATAGTTTTCATTCACTTACCCATTCAACATGCATTCCAAAGCTCTGACTACTTGCCAGACACTCCTCTAACATCTGGAGATTCCATAATAATAAGCAAAATGCCTGACTTTTGAAACTCATAGTCTAGTTGGAGGAATGGGAGAGTCACCATTATATACTGAAAATGCTTTGCTTGTAGTTTTCTTTTTAGTTAATAGTCTGTGAAAATAATAATGTCTTTTTCTTTTTAAATGACAGCTCAGCATATAGAGCAGATGTCAGAGATTATGATCACAGGGTGCTGCTAAGATTTCCCCAAAGAGTAAAAAATCAAGGGACATCAGATTTCTTACCAAGCCGACCAAGATATTCCTGGGAATGGCACAGTTGTCATCAGTAAGTGGATGGGCCTTCTGGGTACTTTTGAGTTGGTTTTTCATTTTTCAAATGATTTTTACACAAAGGGAGAGAATTGCTGTTATTCACATTTAGAATTTTTCTCTATGTAATCTGACATAATCAAGGGAGTCTATCTTTAAAATCATACATCAATTAGTAGATCCTGTTATTTTTTAAATTAGAAACTCTAAGTCCAGTTTATTAAAACTGTTGATAGGGTCCAGTGATTGGATTCACTAGAATTTTATTCCAATATATTTCAAGTATATATATATATATATATATATATATATATATATATATCCCATTGTGGCCAAGATCATCTGTAGATAGCATTTAACAGCATTTAATAAAGACCATAAATTGTTATTAAAAGGGTTCAGATACCTTTCTCAAAGAAAGGTGCATATGATATACTCCATGAGCTGAGAAGGCCTATCTCCATCCTTGAAAAGACCTGTATCAATACAACTTTGCCTGTTTTGTCCTAAATTTAAAGATTTCCACATTAGGTTATGCTATAATTAGCCTAGATAAATTGCTTAGGTATTTATTGTGAGAAAATCCTGACATGTGCCCTTAAACTTGTTCTCTTCCTAATGGGAGAAGATGTACAACTTAGCATGTTCTCTTTCATGCAATGATAACAATAGATATGAGCACCTAATGTGCTGATAAGATAGAATTATTCATTTCCAAACAAAAGTTTATACTAGTTAAAACAATAATGGTGGGTAAAACATGCCATTTTCTCTTTTGCATTTTAGTAATGATTTCAAATCTATGAGAACTTAAATTTCTAAAATTTCACAGAAACCACCCAAGAGTCATATGCTCTTCTTTACTGGAATGAAACATCAGTATGGCAGCCAAGGGAAATATACTAGAAAACACAAGGGAAATATACTAGAAAACACATGGCAAATATACTTTTAAACACATAAATTTACTGTCTGATTCTATTTAATATTCAAAGATAAAACAGGATATGGTAGAAAAGCAAAACACTCAAAACATGTCTTTTTTTTTTTTTTCCCCCCAACTAGCAAAGTTGAAAACTTACGGTTTTTATAGACTTATGACCCTGGGTTGTGGGGGTGAGGAGGTGGAAATCATCCATGAATCTGGCTTTAAAAAGATAAACATTATCTCAATTTTAATGTGCAAACAGACTGGTGGGGCAGCGGGGAAGTCATCCGAAGTTCACACTGCTTTTTCTCTCTCGGTCACTGACCACTGTCTCTGTGTTGTGGGGCACCCTAGACATTACCACAGCATGGATGAATTCAGCCACTATGACCTGCTGGATGCCAACACCCAGAGGAGAGTGGCTGAAGGCCACAAAGCAAGTTTTTGTCTGGAGGACACATCCTGTGACTATGGCTACCACAGGCGGTTTGCGTGTACTGCCCATACACAGGTAGGTTGGCATCATCCAATCAGGAATCTGCAGGCTTTGAGAGAAAACAAAGGCGTCTTCTATTTTCTTTCCTCCCGCCCGTCTTTTACAAACTGCTAGGGGTTTATCTAGTCAAGATAGAAGATAACTGAGAAAACAAACGTGCAGGCTTGTTGATCCAAATTAGTTTGAAAGTATTTTATCGTCACAGAAGGTCACTGCAGACTCATTGTGTTCCACAATCAAAAGCAGCACATTACTCTCTGGAAAAGTCTGAATGGTTCCCAATATCTGAGCTCATTCTGTATTCTTTCCCTGGCTAGGTAAGTAACTATAGAAAAGATACCTGTTTTCCCACCTGCAAAACCCAGTATGCTAAAAATAGGATACCCGGTGATTATGGTTAGCAAAAGGAGAGAAAGGCTTCTTAAAAAACACTGTAAAAAACTGTCTCTTTTAATCATGTAAATAAAAGCAGAAGGATACAATTTCTCTCTTTACACATATATATTTAAGACTACAGTATAATTGATGTCAGATGTTCTTTGGGTGAATTTTTAAAAATCGTGCTGAACTAAGCAATCTGTGTGTCCTATAATAGGAAAATCTGTGTCAGTTCAAAGCCATGCCAGTATTTCCATAAGAAACTCTAATTTGTAAAAGGACATTGTAATTTTACTCCTGCCGAAATCTTGGCAAGGAGTAGTGAGTGTATATGTCTCAGGGCAAGGGGAAGCAATTCCAGGGCTGTGGCAGGAAGCCTTTGGTGACCTAAATGTTACTGCTGCTTCTTTCTCTAAGCTTAGAATATGAGAGCAATTGGAGAGGGTAGGATTCAATTCCATGTGCCCTGAGGCACCATTTATTCTTTAAGCAAAAGATGTAACCTACATACACGTTACAGCTATGTGTCTATAGAAATTCCCTTTTCATTCTTAGAGTCCCACAGGGCCTGCCTGAGAAGGGACCTAGTTTCTTCTTTTCATTCACACAGAGGCACTGTGGGTAGCTCACTGCTGAAATACTTGAATCTAAGACAACAAGTATTTACAGCACTTCTAGGCTCTCAATTCTTGGGGTCACCCCACTTCGTTTTATATGGTAACTTTCCCCTAACTGTCCTCATTTATGTCCTATTAACTATTATTTGTCAGTTCTTGTATTACAAGCAATTTGTGCTTTTCACTTAGACAGGCTTATCATTTCAAGGAAAAAATAATTATCTCAAAGCTCCAATATTGACTTAGATTAGTTGTATTATAATGTTGATTAAATGTATCCAAATATGATACTAATATAACTTCCTTATATTTATACTTTCATAACAAATTCATATATTAAATGTATACAAAACTAGATACTGTCATATTAACTTACTCTATCAAACAGTTGTGCTTTGCTAAAACCAAATAGCTAATTCAGGTAAGGTTCTACATTTAATCTATTTTTAAAGCATGACTTTCAGTATATGAAATACCTGTTTCTCCCATATTTGTTTGCTAGTACAAATAATCAAACTCATACTTAACTTCTGCAAGCTGAGTAATGCTAGAGTACCAGTTTCAGCGTTCTTTTAAGCTCTTTTATTTACTTGAAAGTAATATAAACATTGTAGCATTATTTAAACCTAGATTAAAGATATATCTATTCCAATGACTCCCTTGTAATGCCATAAATTTAGTAGTAGCAACAGCAACAACAAGAGCTAACACTTATTAAGTATTTATTATGTGCCAGAACAAATGATAAGCTGGGATAAGAAAGCAAAAATTATTCATTACGTATTTACCCCTCAACATACTGTTAATGCGTTGGTATGAGCCAAGGTGGGTGCGTGGTTCTCACTGCTGTGGCTCAGGTACTTTTGAGTGTGGCCTGTCCACGCTACATTGTGTGTGGTATGTGAGCACAATTCTTCCTCTTCCTCCCCAAATCAGGTTATCGTCAAACCAGCACTGGTAGGACATGCTTAGATGAATTTACCATCTCTTTCGTGACGAAGGTGATATTATGCACCAAACAATTTGGGGTGCTGAAGTTAAATAGCAGTATTGAGTTAAAATGATTCTAGCATACGCTTTTTAATTTACTTTAGATTACCATTAGAATGAAAATACAACAGTGAAACTTCTTGTGAAGAACTAATAGATTTGAGACTGCCCCTTCAGACTTCAGTTTGAACAAACTTCTCCAGACTATAACTTTACAGAGAGAAGGACCATATCTCATTGGTATTCTCCTCACAGGCTGTAGAAGTCACTCATTTACTTGCTGACATGAATATCTTAGCAAGTGAAGTAAGATGGGATGTGTACACTGAGATATACATTCATCCCTTTAGTTCAACAAGACATTTCAGTGACTATATGAGAGAGGGTACAGTGTGGAGGAGAACACCAGAGACTCTGGATCCAAATGCCTGAGCTCAAAACAAACTCAGCCACTTTTAAGCTATATATCCTTCCATGAGTTATTTGACCTTACTGTGCCTCAGGTTCCTTATTTGTAAAATGGGGATAATAATAGCAACTTGCCTTGTGTAGTTCTGGGAACTGGATTTATGCTTAAAATGATTCCTGACATGTAATACATAATTACTGTTAGCTATTCAAAAATGCAATCATAGACCCTACCCTTAGCTTACAACCTTTAATTAGATGGTTTTATATAGTATGATTATAATTCAGAGCAGAAAAGGATAAATACTATGAAAGCTATATACACAAAAAAGTATCATGGGCAGAATACAGGAAGTAATTTCCAAAGGTCAAAATTGGGAAAGGTTGTACTGAAAAGAGAATATTTGAGCTAAATTGATTATTATGTGGCCTATATTCTTGAACTGATGATAGTCTAGAATTTTGGTGCAGGTCTATTTTTCACTTAAGATTATACTTATCACGGGTGACTTATGACACTTTTAAGAAGCTAGATCTACTACTTATATGGCAGTTTTTTGCTGTTGGAGGTGCTATAGGTTGAGTAATATATACTTCTTAAGGGAGATGCAATATAAGTATAGTTGTACTTACAAACTTGTAAGTGCTAATTTAAAATTTGATTAACAAATAGTATGCATATTCATTCTCTCTCCTCTCTCTCTCTCTCTCTCTCTCTTTCTCTCTCTCTCTCTCTCTCTCTCTCATTAATCCTTCATCCAAGGATATTTTACCATTGATTTTTAGGGAGAGTGGAAGAGAGAGGGAAAGATAGAAACATCGATGTGAGAGAAACACATCAATTGGTTGCCTCCTACATGAGCCCCAACCAGGGCCCAGGGCAGGGAGAAGCCTGCAACTAAGGCATGTGCCCTTGACCAGAATCAAACCCAGGAACCGTTGGTCCACAGGCTGACACTCTATCCACTGAGCCAAACTGGCTAGGATTAATATGCATATTCTTTAGAATACTCTAACCATACATCATCTTTTTAAATTTTCTATTTTATTTGTTTTAGGGGTTGAGTCCTGGTTGTTATGATACTTACAATGCAGACATAGACTGCCAATGGATTGACATCACAGATGTAGCACCTGGGAACTACATCCTAAAGGTAGAGACCTTTAAGAATATACAGCTGTAACTTATTTCCACTGCAATTCCATAGATCCCTTTCTCTGGATTCAAATGTTAGATAATCATGACCCTGAAAGTAATTATACATTTTCTATAACCATTTCTAAATGATCCCAGATATATTATTTTTATTATGTTTATTTTTTATTGTTGATAGTATTACAGATATCTCCCAAAATGTCTTATTTTAAAAAACTTGAGGAGAAAATATACAACCTCTCCCTAAAATGGCTCCAGAGTTGAACCATTTGCCTAAAATTTCATCCTCCCTGTTTCTGTGACTTGAAACATGGTAGCCATGTGAAAACAGGAAGAAATTAATTGGTAAACACTGCTAATAAAATCTGAAGTGCAAAAAAAAAAAAAAAAAAAATCTGAAGTGCAAATGATGTTTGTGTTGCCCAGGTCAGTGTGAACCCCAGCTACCTGGTGCCTGAATCGGACTATTCCAACAATGTCGTGCGCTGTGACATTCGCTACACAGGACATCATGCGTATGCCTCAGGTTGCACAATTTCACCGTAAGTCTGATTTGCCTAACTGATACTCTTTCCCAGGAGTTTTAGTTCATCAGCAGGCATTACACAGGGTGTGTTTGTTTCTATCATTAGTATAGCCTCCTTGCAAACTAGACCAAAGGTAGAAATGGTCTGCACTGTCCCAGAGTTAGAACTGATCTTTTTTTGGCTATGGTAGAGAAAGGAGGGTGTACTCAGCTTTTTAGCATCTTAAAACTTAGCTCTGAAGACAACACACACACACACAGAGAGAGAAAGAGAGAGAGAGAGAGAGAGAGAGAGAGAGAGAGAGAGAGAGAGAGAGAGAGAGAGAGAGAACACATTGTTTACTCAGAAAGCATGTGTGGAGGCTGAATATGTAAAATATGCAATGCGCATTGTGGGCGGCCTTGTGGGAGCCCAAATGGTTGGGTTTCCTGCTGCTGCCAGAGTGCATGACGGAGCTCTGGAGAAATTCCTAGAGTTCCTCAAAGTACATTCTGAAAAGTCACTGCCTTAAAGAATGCAGCTGAAGGGATCAGACTGCCTGCTCTGTGCAAATCAAGAGTTCACATATTTGAGTTCTAGAACAAATACTAGGGAAATATTCCACAAAAGAAGGGATGTGTGGAGGTACCTTCATAATTTTCTTAGTCCTGGAACCCTTCTCCGAATGACATCTTAGATAGAATCCCAGCTCATTACTATTAACAGGAGTGGTGTGTTGATGAAAGTACTTAGCGAAAGCTGGGCAGGTTTCCTGCTTCTGCTTCTGTCCGTCTCACCCTCATGCCTTAAGCACTGACTGCTTTAATGTAGCTGGGTTTTAGATTCTAACTACACATGCCACCTGTAAGCAGCACCTTCTGAACACTGAGCACACCATGAGAGTGATACTGAACACGCGTCAGCTTTGCTTTGACGCTGGAGAGTCACACAGAAAGGTGTAACAGGTACACTAGAAACTCATAATAGTAATTTCTCCCTGATGTACAAACCAGGACAGTGGTTCGCCACACACGCACCTGCAGTTGTGGGTTTCCCCAAGACCACCTACACCTGGTTGTGCAGGTTCTGCCTTAGACCTGGGCTCCTGTCCCATGTTCCACTCACAGAGCCACCTCCTGTGGCTTGGGCTGCATTCACCTTACAGGGGCGTCTTTTCCTCATTCCCACGAAGGAGCAAAGGCTGTGTTTTACGAGTGTCATCACAGCATTCAAGGTCAATGAAGCTTGTAACAGCAAAGGGACAGCACGGAAAAAATGATAATTATATTCTTCTGAACATGCCCACAGTAGAGGAAACCTAGATGGGTTTATCACTCATATAGTACAGAGTGATCAGGGTGTACCTGCAAATCCTCAGAACAGCAGTGGAATTTGAGCTACCGTGTTTTCCGGCATATAAGACGACCCCCTAATTTTACAGTTAAAACATAGGTTTAGGCCTATATTCGCTGTATAAGACTACCCCCCACTTCAAAGAAAAGACTTACTTTGCCGTCAAGATCTGCAGGTAATTTTTGTGCAATTTTGGTCTTTTGCCCCCGATTTTCAGTTGACTTTTTTTCATTTCAAAAGTTGTCTTATACGCCGGAAAATACAGGTAAAATGCACGGGTTACCTTGATTTTTATAATTCCTTAATTCTCTAATCCTCTGTCAAGGCACATATAAGAAATAATCAATGAATGCATAAATAAGTGGGACAAGAAAGTGATATTTCTCTCTCTCAAATTAATAAAAAATATTTTTGTCAATCAAGTATTAATGGATAATTTCATAAGGTAACTGCTGCTTAGGTGGAGGAAAAATGATACCTCAATTTTTCAAAAGGTTGACTTCAAACTTGTCTACTGTATTCATTCATAGTATTGTCAGGTTAATAACTTATCTTTTGTTTTTTAATATAGGTATTAAAAAGCAAGCCAAGACTCCCAATGGATAAATCAGTGCCTGGTGTTCTGAAGTGGGAAAAATAGATTAACTTCAGTAGGATTTGTGTATTTTGAAAAAGAGAACAGAAAACAACAAAGGAATTTTAGTTTGGACTTTTTTATAACTAAACACATAACTGGATTTTGAACATTTAAATTGGCATTGTTTGGAAAAAATTTTAATATTATTATTCACATTATTTTGTGAATTGACATGTTTTAATTCTGTACTTGCACCCTTGGCTCTTTCAAAGAAATCCAAATTTCTTATGCTCTTTTTGAAATTATAATACAGAAGGGAAAGTAATATTGCAATGAATGAGCCACAATTACTTTGAACTGGGAATTTTCTAAAGTGCTGTAACTTCAGTGAACTACGGTAATCATTGGCTTATATGTCCTGGCTCCTACTGTTTAAATAGGAATGGACACATTTGGTGCTGAGGAAGGAACAAATGCATTACCATTGGTCTCAAAAAATATTACTATATAGCAGAGAAATGGCAGTATATGTATTCAGATAGCTATATCCCTATATAAAATTTATGTTTACATTTTAAAATTAGTAGATAAACTCCTTTCTTTCTATCAAGTGTACACTCTGACATAAGTCAGTTTTTATTCTGGAACAAATTGAGTAATTGAGCTGCCCAACTCTCCCTGACATTTGTTGATGCTCCCCTCTACTCTTCAATTTTCCTCTGGGCAGAGACCTTTTAAGTGCCATCTTAAAATTACCCTTCTGGGGACTGGTATACATAGGACAACTGTGTCAATGGGAAGTTATTCTGATGACAAATATGATACATCCAAAAATAATGCACAATTAAGTATATTGAAGTACTAGCCAAAATTTTTTTTCTTATGGACATAAAATAAAAAATCATAATGAACAAGTCCCTCAAACCACAACTGTCTCTCAAATAATTTTTAAAAAGTAATGAAAACCAATTTGGAATTTTCAAATTTTCTACATTAAAAAAAAATATTCAGCTTTAAAAAGAGGAATGCTAGAAAGTTTTAAGTTATCCAGAATAGATGACATAATATGTGTGGATACAGGAATCATATCCTATGTCATCCAGGAATCAGTCATGTGGAGTGTGAGTGTGTGTGTGTGTGTGTGTGTGTGTGTGTGTGTGTGTGTGTGTGTCTGAAATATAATCCAGATTAGCAAAGCACACAGCAATACATACTTGAGGGGTTAGTGAATAAGGGTTAAAAAAAAATACTTTCGGCAAAACCAAAGGCTGTGCTACATAATGAGACAGCTGTGCTTTTATTTTAAACTGTGAAATCATGTGCCACAACAGAATTGGGAGACTTTCTCTTTTTTCTAGATTCAAAAGGTGCAGAAAGAAATAAAATTACACTTTTAAGTTAGTGGTGCTTAAGCAGAAGTTTTTCTATAAAAACCAGTATTAAAATCTCAAGCAAGGTACTTCAAGTGCCAGAACACACAGGTAAAATTTAAAAATGAGTTGGCATCCGTGTATTATATGCCATGGAGTTGTAAAGTCAACACCATTCAGCACTCACTCCGTGCCTAGAGCGGTGAGAGGGGCTAGAAATGGACAGTCATTGAGGGGTGGAGGGCCACAGATCTACATCCGCCAGAGCACACTCTTCCCAATAGAGAACACAGACAACTTAGTAGAGATCAGGGCTTTCACTGAGCTAGTATCTGATCTATGGGACAGCTTCTTTGATGTACCTCTTTGCCTTAAATAGCTTTTTAGTTTTAAGATTGCAGGAAGAGCCTTTCTTTTAGATTATAATATTTTCAAATATTTTAACATGCTTACTTTTTAGAAAAACAAGAAACTACTGTCAGTATTAATACTGAGCCAGACTGGCATCTACAGATTTAAGATTTATTAGCGCAAGATTTTTACCCCTGTATTAAAAGTTAGCCAATATCATGGCCTTTTGGATACATGAGAAGACACATTTTCTATTCATTTATCAGACCCTCCATCTGTCTGTCCGTCCATCATCATTTGAGGGCCTAATATATGCCAGGCACTGACATGCTAGGCAATAGGATATAAAAAAAGATTTTCTCTAACCTCAATTAAGTATTAAAAATGTCATTATGCTTTAGGTTCACTTCATTTCATTTTTTAACAACTATAAGTACATGTCTAAAAATTTTATTTTAAGCTCTATTGTTTTTCATGACCATATTTTATTTTAAAAATAAGTTAAAAACTAATAGTTATATGCATGTATGTGTTACTAATAATTAAAAATATGTTTCCAATTCCTGAACTGTCTGCGTTTTAAATATAAAATGTGCTATTTGATTGATTTTGGGAGGGAAATTTCGGTTAGGAAGTAAAGATTCTCACTTAATCCTTATGCATCCTTCCCCCTCAGTCATCTCTTACTACTCCCTTAACATTTAATATTTTTGAACCACAAGGGATCTCTTCTCTGAATAACCACAAAAACTCATACAAAATGACTAGCTGGTAAAAGTTATCCATTAATAAAATAAAGAATCCAGCCTTACAAACTCTAAATTAAAAAAAATTAAATAGAAAGTAGAAATGATACAAAGAATGTTGAACAGTGAAAAGAGACTGGCTTTTAAACTAATAAATACTGTGAAAAAAATGGGCTAAACAGGAAATAATTTAATGAGTCTCCCACTCACCATAATAGTGACCTCGTAATTATTCAGACCACAGTTTGAACTAAAGATGTCTTGACCTTGGGGGCGAGGATTAAGTTTTCCAGCAGTACCAGAACACATGAATCTACAACTTGCCTATTTCTAGATAATCTTTACACTTTTACATAATTAATTTATTCATAATTCCAATCACTAGGTATTATTTGTAATAATGAACAATAATTGTTTTTTCTTTGAAACCTCATAGAATAGTCACATTTAAACATTCCCAATATTCAGATTCCAGAGGAAATGCCATGCATTAAAATGATCATGGCACTGAGAAATCACCTTTAGCAAATTGTGTGAAAATATACCATTTCTGGTCAGAAGATGCCTTATTTTAAAAATAACTTGTTCTGATACTAATAGTATAGTAACTTATAAGTAAAAAGTTACCCCTTTTCTACATTTTTTAATATTTGTAATCCATATTCACAAATAATACATTCAAACAACAGCTATATATCATTTCCAGTTACCAAAAGTCCTGGACCACTTTTAAACATTTCAAGCATTTCATTTATCTTTTAAACTAAAATGGTGCTGAATTATTTCAACTTGAATGTAAAAATGTGTTGTCTTAGTTCACAGGATACAAACATTTAATTAATAGGTCACTGCTTGCTACTAACTACATATCATTTGATATTGTAATACTTTCAATGAAGTTTTAGTTTCTTCCAAAATGTTCAAGAATCCTATTTGTAAAACATCTCTAACTCTTTTTTAGAAGCTCTTAATTTACATGCCTGACACTGGCTTTATAGTCTTTTTTACACTCTCACATTCTTTCATTGTATGCTATACTACGAGTGAAAATTATAAAAAATTGCCTTGAATAAATGATTTCAAATATCCATAGTGGTCATTTGTTGTTACATGTAAATAAATGATATGAACTTCATTTTAGGTTAAAATCTAAAAGCCCATGTATATGGTTTGTGGTTTTGCTTAGTTGCCTTTTGTATTAACAAATTGTTTAATAAGCTCACATGACTTGAAACTTGTCTATGATGGATTAAAAAAAAATCTAGTTGATGTTTTAAAAAAGAAACTATCATACATGAATGGATCCTAACTTCTGTCATCATTACCAGTCATTTCAAGGACACAGAGCAGGCATTGAGAAGACAACCATACTCTGTTTTAATTAGGATTTAGAAGAAATATGCATAATCATATAAACACTCAGGGGACACATCTAATTAAAGCTACGAACTAGCCATAAAAAGAGAAACATTGCTATCATAGAAATTCTTATTTAAATGTTTACCAGATTAGCCTGGAAGCTGGTAACCTGAGAAAACAACCTGGCCCCAAACTATGGACAATGTTTTTTTGTTTGTTTTTTTTGGGGGAAGGGGATTCACAAAATTAACCCACACAACAATTCACCTTTAAAGAGCTCTTACAGATAAAAGAGATGCAGGCTTGTGGTAGGCAGTCTGAAGAGTTAAGTTGCAGAATATCTGGTGATACCCTGAACGAATAATTTCCTGCTTCCCTAGCCTGCTCAAGGCAAAGCATCTGAATACACTTTCCTTATTAATGCAAAAGGTGATTTTCTTTGTCCCATGAATGTTCAGTATTTCTCACACTGTTCAACATTAGCTCATTAACCAAGACATGGGAGGGCAGAAAACCTGACTGCCTTATGCTACTCATTTATTAATATTTCAAATCCTTGCCACAGATATTAGTAGAGGATTATTAACCAACAGGTTGAATATATCACTTGCGTTGCAGTAATCTGTAGCTTAAATTTAAATAAAGCTCTTGCATCATTCCTCTTTTTAATTTGAAAAAATATTTATTACAGAATTAGGATAATACTGATTTCTTCAAGCATGTATTGAGAGAGTCTCATTTTGCAAGACAGTCTACTAAAAAAAACAAACTCTATACAAAAATTAGAGAAATGTTATCTCTGTGGCAGATATTTACAATACATATAGACTTATTCAATAATTATAAGAAGTTCTGTAGTAAAGAAACCACTTTAGCTTTATTATCTAGTGTTTCTCAGATTTGCTTTGCCATAAATATCTGTTTTAAATAGCACTTACTATGTTGTCAAAATGTTGTTTTTTCATGGAAAACTGAGATATGCCATATTATTTATCAGTTCATAAAAATGAGATTATTTGAAAATGACTTAAAACATACCTAATACATAGTCACAAACCCAAACAGATAGCCAAAATGAGGAGTCAACCCCCAAATGAAAGAACAAGAGATAAATGAAGCAGAGATAAGAAATTTATCTGAAATAGAGTTTAGAGTAATGATGGTAAAGATGCTCA